ATATTTATCTTTACTAAATTCAATTATATCTTTTTTTTTCAATAGCTTTATTAAATTTCATCTAAAAAATTGCGCCTACTTAATTTCCTTCATATATATCTTTTATAATACGTCCCTAATAGTATTAATTTCCATTATCGCCTATTAATAGAACAAGTCATAACTAAAATATATCCTCTCTCTCCTTTTTTGTCCCTCTTAAATATAAACGGCGATATATCTCCTATATATCTATATCATAATTATTTTTAACCTATTAAAACTATCTCAATCGAAATCAAAATCCATAAAAAAATATTCTATCATTAAATTCAATTTATTTATAATTTCGTATTATATATCCATACGGTCCTCCCTCCCCCAGATATATGCCCGAAATCATCATTAGAATAGTACTTTTAATTCAATCTTAAGGATAAGATTCCGAATCTAAGAGCTTCATCAATTATACGATATTTTTAAAGTTATATAATTTCGCGAAAAATCTAATTAAATACGCCGCGATATAGTATACACAGCTTCTAACCCTGCTCATAGCTATACGTCGAAATCCTAAGCAACCCACGCCCCACCCACCCCACAAAACCAATATCCTCCCACTACCACACCATAGAGAGGAGGGAAGGAGAATAAATACTAAAACTAAAAATCTACAACCCATTCCTTCTTAAAACTATGCAACTTCGGTCTATACTACGTCTAGTTGCTGACCCTCAATCCTAAACCTTTTTATATCTTTCTCAGTGCGGGGCGGGAGCCCAGACCCTAACCCCTAAACCCAGCATCCACCACCCCCATATCAAATTTCTTTTAACAGAATCATAAATCAAAAATAATAAAATATCAAAAATTAATTGAAAAATATTCGAATGAGTCTAGATTTCATATTCGAATCATCTTCTAAGCTGCTAAATCGATATAGATTAGGCAGAAAATATAAACCCTTCACACAAGATGTGAATTCTTTCGGAATGCCTCTAAGTCTGTCAAGCTGCGAAAGCCAGCTTGTCACGAATTCTGTCTCTCGCCGCTCCTGATCTATCCCGTGATCACGTCGATTCGGCTTCCTTCTTCTCGAATTCCCTGAGAGTAGCAGAAGAAAGCATCCGTCGTGATCATTGTTTTGCGAAAGATCTTCCGGAAGCTGAGAGTTTACAAAGCAACATCCCAGCTTGCTGCTGGCTTGTTCCGTGCCTTTTCTTTAAACAAGTTCAGAAGGCTGCAGACCGAAGCCGACTGGAACGTGGAACGTTGGCACATTGCAGTGCAGCGACAGCCTGCCGTTCTCACGGACATTTCTTTGTATCCACGACCTCTGAACAGCCCTGAGCCCACACCGACCGAACACATATTCAGCTCAAATCTAACACTTGTTTAGATTACTCGAACCAATTCAATTCACACTTAGTGTACCGAGACTGCCAGCATCTCCTGTGCTGGCGTTCAAAAACGAAAGCCCAAGAGGTCCAAGCTTTCGCTTCAAGTCTGAGAAGTTGCGAGTGCCAAGACATCCAGTGCTTCGCGCTTGGCATCTTAAAGATCGAGCAAGACTCTGCGACGCACTTGCGGCGGTCTTCAAACTGAACGGGCGCGCTTTCGCGCAGCGCCGCACACAGCAAGTGAAGGCTTCGGTTAGATGCAGCCAGTTGGCAGTGCAGCAGTTTTTCAGGAATGAATAATAATACCAGTATGCCCAAACTGTGGCCCTCGATGGTCTTGGATTCCTTCGATGCTGGGAACATTCAGGTTGGCAACAGCGAGAACTAATGCACAAGAAGGGCTACAGGGAGAGATGGTAAAACTGAGGCTAATTGAGGGCTCATGCGCCCTGGAACCTACTTAGCCACATACAAACCCTGAAACCTCAACAAACCCTACCAGTAGGCCCTAGGCCGTGTGGAGTACAAGACTACGCTTGCAGACCTACTCGGACAATTTCCTGTCCAGCTCGAGGCCACTTCCGAGCCCTAGCAGCCCCTCTCAGTCGGAACTTTCTGGGATCTCGTTGATTCGTCTGGCGGGAGGCGGCGACACCAGTCACAGCGAAAGAGAAACCATTTTGTCGACCAGAGCGTGCGTTGTTTCCCTCCGTGTGATCGTGCCCCTACATCAATCCAATTTGGGCAACCGGCTGCATCCGAAACTCGCATGCCTTCACATTCAAGGCGCTGTGACATGTTCGCCTGCACGTCGTGTGCGATCTTGAACGAACGTATCGCTCATTCTGCACGCGAGCTCTCGGGCTCACGAACCTGATACTCCCAACTGAACCGTCAAGGAAATGACGCAGCAATGTATTGAACTTGCTTAAAATTGTCTGAGCAAAAGCTCCAGAAAACCAGATGGCGGTCTTCACCCAGTCTTCAAACATTTAGGTGGTCTTCAAAAACCTGCACATCACAACAGTGGGTAATTTTCGTCTGCTGTGATTGTTCATCGGGGAAGTGCTTGCAAGTTGAACTCCCAACCTCCTTTCTCGGAGTATGACATGTAAGCGATTGGATAGTAACAAACTGTCAATTTTTCAGCAGCTCCCCAGTCGAACCATTAATTCAAAAATTCAGAGGCCCTCTCTGAGGGTGAAGGGTCCGGTCTTGGTGGTGGTCCGGCAGCCTTGGAGCGACAACTCCCTAACATGATATAAATAAATAAATAAATAAATATATATATGTATATATCCAGTAGAGTGTACTATCTTAGAATAGATTCGGGTATGCTTTATTATGGCCTTCTAAATTATACCATTACAATAGCGCGAGAGCACGCAATAACCTACCCCCCTTACCCGCTGTTACTCCTCCCCTTACGCGCTGTTACTACAACCCTACCCGCTGTTACTGGGAACGCTTAATATTTTATAGTATAGCATAGTTATAGTTTACTCTACTAAATTTATATGATAGTACATTACATCCCACGCACTTCCGCCCCCTGTTTGGCGCTCGCAAAGATTGCGATTCCCGTCCCAAGACCTCGAACACCTGAAGCTATACCATCCGCCCAGGTATCTGACAGGGCCAGGGTGTTCTTTCGAGGATGAAGAATCAGCAAGACTGAATCAGAACAGAGCAGCACAAGAGGAAGCAAGTGATACATGCGCTCAGATGCGGCAAATTCAGATCGATGGGAACTGAACGAGCATATATGGCAGCAGAAAGTTGGCGCAAGCGGGCGCTTGGCGATGGTGGCAAAAAGAGCAGCAGCCGTACTCAGTAACATTTACTGTGCCGTAGTGGTGGCGGTTTGGCGGCAGGAACCTACAGCAGGACGAAAGCAGCAGGTTCTGAAGGCCAAAGAGGATCACAGAAGAACTTCGAGCTGGGCTCCCAGGCGAGCTTGTCACCAGGATCTCGTCTTCCTACACCTCTTCCGCCTCCTTGTTCGACTTTGTGTCAGGATTTTGCATAAAAGAAGCAAGTGCTTGGGACAAGGGACTTTGGAATGGACACACGCGCGAGAACAAACCTGGTCCTGAATGGCATCCTTTGGAGACAGCTCTTCCGTGGTCCTCAAGGCTTGCTGTTGTTTGCAAACGAAAGATCTTTCCCTGCAAGCACTAGCATGGGAGACATTTTGGATCACTACCGATGCCTGCTCCAACTGGCAGTCAAGAATTGGCTTCACATGATCAAGTGAATTACCTCCTTACCAAGCCAGGCTCTAAACCTGATCCACTAGATCGCCCAGGGACGCGTCGTTCTCAAGCTCCTCCTGCGCAAGGCTCACAAGGGGCCAGGCTCGCAAACAGGCAACAAAGCCATCTGTCTGAAATGAGCCGAGGTTGACGGAACCGGAGAACTCACTTGTGTTTTTCACCTGTCCCTGAACCTGAACGAAACCCTCAGACCCCGAAACACAACATGGCCTTCATGTGCCCTGTCGGCTCCGTGTCCATGACTTTGCTGTTATCCTCGCAAGCAGAATATAATATAGTATGATATAATATAATATAGCCAGCATCAAACAAGCTCCGGGCACAGACGTTGCTCGACGATAGAAGATGCACACCGCTCATTTGCTCGAGCAAGTTGCATCTTCGGAGCTCACATGCTCGGCTTTGTGTGCCCAGCGAACCTATTCTCCGCAACAGGCGAGCATGTACACCTCCCGAGCGACTATAAATCCGTTAACCCAAGCATCTGCGTTCAGACGGCGAGCCATGTATCTGCCTCGCGCGTGAATACGGGCTCAAAGCTCGTCCTGCCCTTTCGCAGAACTCGTCAGCTCATTTGGCTCATCCCACCAGAAAACGAGATTTCCAGCATGCCCTCTGCAAATCGCCGCTAACACGTGACAACGCGTCCTTGTGCTGCGAGGCATGCGAAGCATTCTCGGTGCCGCTGCCAGAAAGGCTAGCAGACCGCACACCAAGCTTGACGGCCATGTCCACCATGAGCCTCCCAGGAGTCAACACCCTCTGCCCTCCGTCGGCAGGTCAGATTCTGAAATGCTCAAATATCCTTATCCGCCTGACGCTCTCAAGTAGTTCACATTGCCACGACATGCACGGCTTCACTTCGCACAGTATTCGCGCATTATCCGGGCCATCAAGTGTACTCAAGATCTAACTCAAACATATTCTTGAAAATCTCGACAATGCCGTGTCTCTATGTTGCTCTGCTGCTGCTAATGCACCGCCTGATCATGCCCGCCGTTTATCGCCGTTCCTCCTCATGCTCTTGCCGCTGCTCTTGCTACTGCATCCACTGCCCTGCTGCTTGTCTTACGATTAAGACGACGCCTAGGACCGTATGACTCTGACTAGCACATGCTCTGGACTCTAGTTGTTTGGCCCAAGAAAAGATTCCACCAAACCGGGTCAAACGTCGCACGTTGCGCCTGTCCATCTCTTCGAACTTGGCCTTGGTCATCCTCCAGGTGCTTGGCTTTCCGTGCTGGTTGGGCACAGGCGCCGGCTTCTTACATTTGGGGAGGTCGGCATTAGCAGCACGAACACGGCCTACCAGCCGTCACGGCCTCTGCTTGCAAGTTAACCCAAATTGAGTGTCTTCGTGGCTTAGTTGCTGCGGAGACTGGAACATGTCTGTGCCTATGCTGACTGCCTGAGAACCTATCTACAGCAGCCTGAAGTCCTTGGCCCCTGAGCCCTGAGAGCTACGGGCAGTTGACGAAGGTTATAGTGAACTGAACGGTCGCACGCTTTGGCAGTGTGCGATCGCAGTAAGACTCTCCGAAGCTGGGAAAGGCCGGCAGCCTTGTTAACCGACCGACTGCGCTGTCATCCACAGCCTGGCTGCTCGGCTCACGGCACATGCTTGAGGCTCCAATATCTGTGGTTCGAACTTTCGGCTCAGCTCACATAAACCACAACCCATGTCCGTGCAGGAAAGAGAGTCATGCGAACGCTGGTTGTGGCATGTGGGTGAGACTTGAAACAGAAAAAGACACCGCACGAAGGTCTGCACCTGTCCAAGCGCACTAGATGTCCAAAAAGCCGCGGCCCAAATCAGGGTCACTGACCTTGAAATTACCCTCAGTGTAGAAAAATCCACACGGAACTTTGCTGCGGGTTCCTGCTAGTTCAATGAAAATCAGAGGCCTTCGATAGGGGGATTTGGCATAAGATAACGGCCTGTATCATCAGAATAGGGTCGGTCCTAGTATACCTGTAGAAAGGAACCTGAGGGACTGGTAGTAATTTACTTCCCACCCAAAACCATAAACTCCTGAACCCGAAACGCCTAATTCTCAACCTACATTCGGTTTGAGTTCAGGGCGTGAAGAATCCAAAACATGCTCTAGCATATTTAAAGAAGTGTTTAGCGCTTAGGATTCAGGGATATTGATATTCAGGGTATACTGACAAACAAGGGGCCCTAGAAGAAAGGTCGCGATCCGACCCCAAACCTCAAACCCCAAACCCCAAACCCTAAACCCTAAAACCCTAAACCCTAAACCCTCCAAACCCTGAACCCTAAACCGGCAGCCGTGGCCTCTTCAAGGCTTGGCCAGGGAAGCTCAGGATTCGCAAGGCCTGGCGGGCCGAGCTACTCGGCTTTCGGCTTTTGGGGTTACTGCTTAAGGAATCTACGGGATTAAGGGCTTAAGGGTTTAAGGGGGTTTAGGGTTTAGGGATTAGGATAATCTAAAGGTTTAATGGCCTACGGAATGTAAAGGAATCAGGGCTTCAGGAATTTCAGGGTTTAAGGCCTGAGGGGGCTTAAGGAACTTAAGGGTTTCCGGGCTTCGGGTTTAACTGATCACCGCTCCTGAAGCATTTCTCAACCAAAGAACCAGCGGTCGGCGAACCTCGGCCCCCCGTGGCATGTACTCGCAAGCTTACCGGAATCAGATGCTGTACCTCCATAGCGCTGCACCCGATCCAGCTCCACTGCCGGATATTGCAAATAGTCATACCTGAGATCTTCTGGCCGAGCGCATGAAATCCGACAAACCAGAGAAGAACTACGGTTCAGGATATGTCCTCGCAATGGCACAGTGCCAGCTGCGTCTGAGACAAAAGGCCTGTGGCACAAACACAACTCGCCCCGGTTTCGGCCGCAGAACTCGACTCGGAAGTCGCAGTACAGATCACCTAGAAGTGGGATGCCCGTATTCAAACCAATATATCATCAACACAACACACACACACAGAGACACACACACACAATATGCATGGAGACAGCTTGCAGGCTCTGGCTGAAGTTTCAAAGCGTCGAGGTGCGGGTTCTCGACGGTCGGCACCGCGCCTCGAGGGCCGTTGTCGCCTTCGTCCAGCTCGCAGGCTTCCTTTGCAAGCGTATTGCAGGGCCCATAACTATTAGAATAGGGTCTCGATTTTCGGATACAGTGTAGTATGAGTATAGTATACGTAGGAACCCCAAACGGGTATAGTGTTGGTAACCGTAGACAAGCTCTTCGCAGGCCTGTGAGAGCCTTTCGCGGCATCAAGGGTCCCAACTCAAGCTTTCCATTGCTCCTCGGGAAACTTCGAAGGCCGAGGCACCCCCAGCCGCAGAGACTCGACGAACCGAGCCCATCGATTCTTGGAGATCAATGGCATGGAGGTCTCGTAAATGTTGATGCCACGGGTCCTCGAATTTCGAGGGGCTGAAAGCTGATAGCTGCAAGAGCTGGATGGCTGTCGGCAAACGAGGGCGTCAACACATTCTGTTACAGCGACTGTGTGCTTAGGAAAGTAGCTACCGAGCCCAATGTGCAGATGAGACAGGCATGGCCGGGCTGGGACAACGAAATGCTGGCTTATCTCGACTTGCGGCTGCTTGCCACAGTGCTGCAGTCGTGCATTGCCCCGCGCGTCGTGGAAGATGTCGTTGTAGCGCTGGCACAACTGTGCAACCATGAGATTCCTTTGGTGACAAGCGGGCGTCCACGGCACCAAACACATGCAACTCCCCTCTGACTATAGCTGAGCTTCATGAGGTACACATGCCAGCACGCAGCGAATGCCATCACAAACCTCAGTCGGCAACGCCGAGCTGGCCGTGTGTTTGTTGCTTGCTTGACATGGATAGACATGACGAAGGCTTGGAGGCCTACTTTCTCGCACAGGAAATGGGATTGTATTCATCTGAAGGCGAAGCAGAGCTGCCAAGCACCGGGAGTGATTTTCAGAAAAATACTGGCTTCGAGAATCATCGGGAGTCTCACCACCAATCGTATTGCAAGCGGCCATTTTAGCAATGGTTCGTCTGCGACAGATATCTCCTCGTAGTTATTGCCTCCATAGGTGTTGAAAGCCATTGACCTGAGGAGATTGCAGTTTGACATCCTGGGAAGCTCGAATGACAAGCATCTTGCCAAAGCTAGCTCCACCCGACGATCCAGCTGCAGTGGACAGAATTATCATAGGCAGCTCAAAGAGACAGAGGAAAATGCACTGCCAGTGGTTGAAAGACTAACCACCAAGCGACGCCCGCTGCCCTCTCTTACCAGGAGCCTTTTGCGCCTCCAGCTCTACTACGACTCCCATGGACCTATCCACCCAGCGGCAACATCGACTCGAAGGCCAAAGGCCAACCGAAGAAGTCTCGCAGCCTGGGAGTCTCACAGGCAAGGGTTTAATCTACCGCGACATAGTATTTACTGTACATATGGTGGAATATAGTATAAGGTAGCAATAAGTGTAAGATAGATAAAATCAACATGATCACATGATCTACTACATCATACCGTACAGAACAGCTTTGCTAATGCTACCTAAAATAAGACTTGCATCAGCTGTCAGCCTAGGTCAACACTGTCCTGGATCCTGGGTCTTCGACCTAATGCAAGCCCATGTCATAGTGTATTGTGATATCTTACAGTACATTATAATACATTATATGTAGTACATTATAGTACATTATATGTAGTACATTATAGTGCATTATCTGAAATACAGCCAAAGCAACTGTATAGAGTTCGTGCCCAAGGACTGGGGCAAGCAAGCCACCTGCACTTGGGCGATGCTTTTCCCGGGCTTGTGGCGGCTGTTGCCACTATCCAGAACCCAGAACGTACGGAAATGAAACTTGGTGCGTGGAATTCAAGATCTTGTCATCCTTTTTGTGAGGGATAATGCGGGGGCTTCCGAAAATAGGGGACCCTAATATAGCGCCCTAAATAGTAGGACCCTTATTATAAGGACCCCAAAACAAGGTACCCTAATTTTCCCCCAAGTCCCATGTAGGTTCGCGACTCTGTGAGGCGAGGATCGAGGTGAGGGCTGGCCTTTTTCGAACAACCTGCGCCCAACTTACAACGCCGGAACTCGCCGAGCCACGGCCGAAGCGAACGCGGCTGTGAAAAAGATCAGAACCGCCACATACAGAAAGAACTCCCACCTTGCCAGTCCGGAACTAGAAGTAACTGGAATTCTTTGGCGACGCAGTGGTTCAGAGGCTACGAGTACAAAAGTTGTTGCAGAAAAACGATTGGCAAGGCTGGCATGTGACATAGTGCTTACAGGCACGATTCTGCAATCATGAACCGCGTGCCATTGCTTCCTGAGCCGCACGAGGCTGGCGCAGATCACACTGAATACAGAGAGCTGCACATTCAGGTGCACCAACCTTGGCAGTTGAGAAGGTCTAAGCCGCATGATGTGAGACTACATCCTGCGGGTCCAGAATGGTCCAGAGTCTAGAGTCTAGACCTACCACCCTTGCTAGACTGCTAGAGCCCAGGATGCAACTCAATACTAAATGAAACAACGCCTCAACATTTTCTGTTCCCTGAAAAGGAAATCCAAGCGGCTCAGAGGCGAGCACGAAGTAGAGGAGCATGGGGAAAGCAGCGAGTCGGTTGTAGGAGTGCGTCAGGCTGCCTTCGACGCTCTCTGTGTGCCTCTAAGTTCTGACCTGAAGGTGAAGCTTGCGCCCCGTTTGCGTGCCCGAGATATCTTGTCTTGATCCCGGGGCTCGACGGGAGGTCGACATGCTGCAGAACTCTTCGCCGACATTCTGAGCATTCTAGGAACAGCGCTTCTTCCTATGCAAGTCCCTTTTGCGTGTGTCTGTTGGAGACAGGGGATGGGCCAAGAGTGGGAAGGCCTAGGGCCTAGCGTCGGCAAGAGGCACTAATGTGAGACAGCATGTGCGTCCCAATCATGTGCTACACTGCAGCTTTCTCCGGAGGAAACTGCAGAAGTTGACAACACTTTGTCTGTCGCGCTCTCCCTGTCTCTCTTTCTCAGACAATACACCGCAGAAATCCTCAATCACTGCCACTGAGGCACAGTACCATTCGCCATATTCACAGCAATCCGTAAGCCAATCGCTACCTGTTCAAGCATGCCTGTGCAACGAACTAACACTGGCGGAACAGGATGCAACGAGATCTTCAGCGAGCTCTGACACTGTCTGTCCCCAAGCCGGACGTTGAAGTGAACATTAGCAACTGTGGTCATGACTCCGCGAATCGAGAAGAGCAAGAACCCATACTCGGTCCGTTCCGATTTATGCCCGACCTTTCCTCCCTTTTCTAAGCTTGCGGAGTAGCGAAGAATTGGTCTCAAAACCCTCATTGTGCCCAGGGCTCAATTGCTTGCCAAGCCACTGACAGAAAGGCAGTGAAGCACAGGCTCGCAGCAGAGCATACCTTGCGCGAAAACACTGATCATTGAGTGGCTGGTCTTGTGACTTGTGACTGAAGCAGTCTCCATGGGGCCACAGCGTCTTCCGCGCTGGAAACGAATATCACTCCGTCATCTTCGTCCGGCAGGAGCAGACACATGACGTAGTGGGGGAGAGTGCATCGGGAGTCACGTCTGGCCAATTTAAGACAGCCTTTGCAGAAGGGGTTTGCAGTCTCATTTGCCCAAGACACCCTATAGTCGCAGGCAACACATGTCAAGACATATGCGCACACAAACACAGACAGGCAAAAGGACGCTCACAAACACACGCACACACAGATACACATACAGGCATGCGCACATGATCACATGATATCATACCATACCGTATAAGGTTACACTATTAAGATATCATAGTGTATAGTATTTCCTTTGTTCTCTTGAGTTACTCTACATCATGTTATCTCATGACATACCAAGTCATACTCTACTACAGTATATACAGTATACTATATAAAATCTTGTATGTCTATACAGTAATTAAATATGTGTATGTATGTATGTATGTATGTATGTATGTATGTAGGTGTATGTAGGTGTATGTAGGTGTATGTAGGTGTATGTAGGTGTATGTATGTGTATGTATGTGTATGTATGTGTATGTATGTGTATGTATGTGTATGTATGTATGTATGGATGGATGGATGGATGTATGGATGTATGGATGTGTGGATGTGTGGATGTATGGATGTAAGTATGGAGGCCCTGTATCAAGCCCTAAGCGGCGCCAGGCAGTTTCTCTTTCTGGCGACTCACCGCTGGTGACTAGCCATGGATCTCAGTTCTGTGACAAGAGCTGCTTGCTGTGTAGAATAATTGGGGGTGTAACGAGAATAGGGTGACTTTGGTGTTCTTAACACGGCTCGATCAGGGGTACTATGTTTGTTGTGTAACGTGGGGGCCTCAGCGATCAGACTAGGGTTTGGGGATATAGTGTCGTTTGCGACGAAACCTTCTTCAAGAGTGTCCTCGTCTTGGACTCCTTGATCAAGAATGAGGAAGTTGCGTCCTCCGCGCCTGTGTCGTATATCTCTCCTTCCTCGCCGGTCCTTCTTGTGAGAAGAGTGCCGGATGTTTGGGTCCTGAGGACCTGTCTTCGTCGCTGCAAATTCCTCAAACATGGTTTGACGAACGACTTTGTACGTGTAAGTTAGTATCCGGTACCTTTGGTTAGTTAGCGTAGAAACTAGCCTTTTTCTCTGATGTTCATTAAGATCGGACTGCACGAGGAATTATCGAGACAGGAGATTGTCATTCAGCGGAAATGACCGCCTGTGGGCGTCTTCACGTTGGCGGTTCCATTCTCGGAACTATTTTTCTGCATATGCTGCTTGTTCCGATTGGTCTTGTAGGGCTCCAAAGGTCGGATCCTGCTTGAAGGCAGCTGCGAACTCCGGTGGATTATCCGCCGAAGTTACGGTAGAAGGTCCATATATGAGTTTCACTGCCTCTGCAGGACTATATCGAACTTATCGAACTTGGCAACCCAGAAAATGACGCAGTCTTGGTTGCCCTTCCACTCCTTGAGCACACCTAGGAATCTCCACAGGAAGACGTATTGCTCGCCCTTCACGAAGAAAGGTTTCATCTTTTTCTTGGAGTATTCCACTCCGTTGGCAGAGCAACATCTATCACGGTCCAGTGCTTCCTTCTGCACTGTTGATAGACCGGAGAGCCTCGTCTTGAGAGACGGTCCTCTTTTCGTTTCATCCAGCGTAGTATACTCAAACGACGAAGTGGTGCCATCATAAGCAGGTGCTGTTTTCGGCGTGATGCCGAGATGACTGAGCGTTTTGTCGCTCGAGTTACCGTATGCCTGGCTTGCGGCAAAATACGTTGCACCTTGAGAGGTTTCGTCCTCTGAGTAGCCTCCGGAGGAGTTGCTGCTGCTGTCATCACTGTGTGAAGACATGGTGCAACCTCGATGCTCGCCTTGGGAAACGATCGGCCAGAGCCAACCGCTTTGGCGGTTTTCGTGACCGGGGGCCGAGCTCCGCTACCAGAAAACTGACCCATTTTGGGAGGATACAGGTGCAGTATGGTCCCTTCAAGTCCAAATGACTTGTCCCTTGCACGCGCCGCAGTAAAGCTTTTTGTACTCGTTGAAAGAGCCAGCATCAAAGAAAACCACTTGGAGTCAAGTGTTGCGGAACATATATGTGCGTGGTGGTCATTAAGCTATAGTACATGCTTGCACTGCCCTAAAGCAAACAAGGGGAAAGGAGGGGAGAGAGGGGAAAGCAGAAAGGCAAAAGACAGAGAAAGAATAAACAGGAGGAGAAGAGCAGGCCTCATGGTGACAAGGCCAGAGCCAGAAGAAAGGAATCCCAAAAAACGATTGAATTCTCCAAAGCAGCCACTTCGCGAACCTGTGTTCATCCTCCATCCGGATTTCCGCCTTTCAGAATGTGCAGATATAGGTCGATTGACCCGAAGCCTGTACCCAAAAACTTTAAACCCCCAAACCCGGACTAAGCCATCAAAACCCTCGATCCTCACCATTCAACCCACATCGGCTACCCCGTTCTAAGTTTTCAGGCCTCTAACTATCTGGATAGCTTTTTAAATTAGGACGGCACCCTTATAAGAAGGACCGTAACAGGGACCCCAATTTAGAGAACTACCCATATGAAGCCTATGATATTTTTAAACTCGTGTAAAGGCCCATTCTAAGTATTCAGGCCCGGCTGCAGAGCTGGAGCCCTAAACCCAACAACCTAAGCTTCAAAATGCTAAAGCTTAACAAACCCCGCCTGTACTACCCCATGCTTCATCATGCTACAATATGATTGTACTATCCCGTACTATACCATCTCGTGCAACAGTATGTCATGCACCAAGAGTAATCGGAATCATATATCATAGCCATAATGGTATTTATTTCGAAAACAACAACAGTAGCAATAGTATTCATCAGTACAACGCAGTATTTCAACCCCTATGATATTGGGAAAGAACCTCGCCGCCCAGGTCCCCGGGGCACCGCCCCCGACGGTACCTGGCCAGTCCTGGCCGCCAAAAAAGAAATCCGTTTTGTGGTGGCTTCTTGGTTTTTAGGGTTTTGGATCTTAGGGTTGTGGTAAGGTTTTCTGTAGTGGTTTCTTGGTTTGTAGGGTTTAGGAGTTTAGGGTGTTTGTTTAAGGGTCTATGTCGTGGTCTTCTGTTTTGTTGGGTACAGGGCTAGAGTTCTGGTATCGGTTTATTGGATTTTTGGTTTTAGGAGTTTAGGTTTGCTTTAGGGGTTTATATCGCGGCCTCTTGGTTTTTAGGGTTTAGGGTTAGAGTTAGGGTTTTGCAAGGTTTATGTAGTGGCTTCT